CGAAGATGATGGGGTACGAGATGCTTAAGTACGTCAACGATCCCGACCAGAAGTTTGCACACCTAAGGGTGATGAAAGGGAACGCTCCAGCGGCTGATTTCGCTATTAGATTTCCACAGTAGTTGTTTATGTATACTTTATTTACTTTGTGTCATTCGCTCACTTTATGAGCAGTATATGTAATAGATTTGAATTTGAATTCTAAATTAGGATAACACGCTGTTCAATGTTTGAATTTGAATTTGAATTTGAATTTAAATTTCAACTTGAGTTACTTTGATTGTACTATAACATATAGGTCCTTTTGAAATTCAAATTACAAAACTTGCATAAGAATCATTTCACGCTTACCAACGATTAATATTATTATAATGATAAAGTTCTGAGCAGATTAGACACTAATAGATTCGAACTTATATGTTTCAAATCTCGTTTGCAGTATAAATTCACGAACAAGTAGAGGTCCTATACGAATCTTAAATCTTATAGTAACGATGTCTATCGATTTCGGAAGTATCTTCAAAATCCTGCCCGACGATATGAAGTATCACGTCAAACAAATATACTGGAAAGGCTACGTGTCCGACGAGGCACGATTTCATCGAGCAATGGCAATAATGAGAATAATATATCCGTTCTGGTGTCCGAACAGATATTGCTTCGCTTTCGACGAGGACGACATGAAGAACAACATGCCTCACATGGTGAGGGAAATAATCAATCACGTCGTGACCGAGATATATAAAATGAACAACGGGAATACAGTGTCTATAGACAGCATAATACAGTTCTCGAAGGGAGCAGATGCACACGATACTGATGGCCAACCAATTCCATACTACGCTGGAATTGAACCTAGATGTCTAGATTACGCATTCGACGAGGAACTATATATCATACAATACATCCAGTATCCGGTGGACGACCGTATTTGTCATTATAAGTATCTCGTAGGAAAGTATTTTTCGGACTTGGACATTATAATCCAATGTGACGAACCAGTGTATTAATTATGTACGAATATAATGTATTAATGTCTTATGAATACAATTTACATCATCCGAATTGAATTTACATTCACTTCTTTCTATCTACGTCACCAAGTAATCTACCCTGACTCTTCCCCTTATCATAAGCGTGCTGCACAGCATCGGCTAACTGCACGCCCGTAAGCGCACCAAGTAACGATTCGTCCTTCCGTGAACTCGTCTGAC